GTGAGCAAGCGGTATTGATTTTGGTGGGAGCTGGGACTCTTACCTACCTCTTGCAGAGTTCTCCTACAACAATAGCTTCCATTCTAGCATTGGTGCTCCGCCTTTTGAGCTCCTGTATGGACAGAGATGTCGCACCCCAGTCTGTTAGGGTGAGGTTGGTCACAGAGTCATGGGTCTGACTGAGGTGGTTCTGAAGACTACAGAGATGATTCAGCAAAGCAGGCAGAGATTGCAGACCGCTTAAAGTCAGCAGAAGAGCTATGCCGACCGGCGCCGATCTGAGTTGGAGTTTTAGGTCGGTGACACGGTGTTGCTGAAGGTCTCACCATGGAAAGGTGTGATCCGTTTCAGGAAGAAGGGGAAGTTGGGCCCCCGATATATTGGACCATTCCATATTGTTGCCAGGGTTGGCAAGTTTGCTTATAGATTGGATTTTTCGGAGAAGCTCAGTCAGATTCATAGCACTTTCCATGTTTCGCAGCTGCGAAAGTACGTATTGGACGAGGATGCAGTAGTATCATTGGATGATATTCAGGTTGATGAGCGCCTGAACTCGACGTGTTGGAAGGTTTTGGGCCACGCATCTTTTTGGACCAGCTCGACGAGTTGGTGAGGAAAAACTCGACGAGTTGGAGGCTGGATGAGAAACCCTAAATTTTAGGGTTTGCACCATATATAACCTCCTAAAGTCTTTGAGGATGATCTTTTATCAGCCTCCAAACCTTATTATCGGCTTTGTGAACCCTAATCTTTATTTCATCTCATATTGTAAGTTAGTGTGGCATTTTGGAGCAAAAGAATGAGAAGATTGAGAGAAGGAGGCAAAGATCTAGCAAGTTAAGCTCTCATCTTCAGTTTGGCACTCTTTTAGACCATTGTAAGTATTCAAGATCCGATTTTTATCTATCTACGTAGCTAGATCTTGAGTTTGGTCCCTTTTTCTCCTTATTCTTGGATGTTAACATGGATGGACTTCATAAAGTTTGCAACTTTATGAATCTCCAGGTCAAGGTGGCCTTATAGTGGGTTGGATCTGGTCTTTTGTCAAGCTTTGATGTCATACATGGAGTTTAGGTCATATTTCCCCCTTTTGACCCATTTTGGGTTCAAGACATGCATTAGACATGCATGTCTATAAAGAACCAATCTTTAGGTCGTTTTTGAGGCTAGAATCTCTTTTGGAAAGGTTGGGTTCCAGATCTCTAGGATTTTGTGCTTAATGGTTAAGCATTTGAGTTTTCAAGCCTTGTGGAAGGGTTTTTGAGCTTTTGGAGTAGTCCCAAAGGATAAATTTGGAAACTTTATCCTTTTAGACACACATTTGGAGTTCAGATCTGAGCCTTAGAGTCCCTGGAATCGAAGAATCATCTTAATGTGTTAAGCTGGGGAAAACTCGGCGAGTTGGCTAGGGTTTTCCCCGACTTTCTTAGTATTGTAGAACTCGACGAGTCCATAGGTGCAATCGACGAGTTGGGTCAACATGGACTGTTGACCTTGACCGTTGACTTTGACTTTGACCATGGTTGACCAAGCTGATCTTTGAGGGCATTTTGGGTATTTTAGGGTTTTAATGGAATTGGTCACATGGTGGTTGTAGGCATTTGAGTCGGGAACTGAGATTCAGAGTTAGAGCTTATCAGTTCAGCTACTTTTGAGGTGAGTTTTTCCTCACTATACTTGCGGGTCGAATGCACCAATACCGACCCTTGGATTGATATCCCATTGTATATGTTATGCTATAGTGATCAGTTAGATCAGTATCCCGGTAGATAGGATGATGCTATGCTTAGAGATTTGTAAGATCTGTTTATTTGTTTGCTAGATGGTTAGTAGTATGGTTATTTGTATTATGTGCACATGGGTGATTGGTGGCTAAGGCTTCACTGCTTTGTGTGTAAGCCAACATGTCGGGGCATTCCAACCCGATGGTTGAGGGCCTAGGGTATTCCATCCCGAGGATGATTGGACCCATAGTATATTGGCATTCCAACCCGCTGGTTGAGGGGCCTGGGGTATTCCAAGCCGATGGTTGATTGGACCCATAGTATGTTGGCATTCCAACCTGATGGTTGAGGGGCCTGGGGTATTCCAACCCGACGGTTGATTGGACCCAGAGTATGATGTTGTTATATTTGTGCTATTTGATATGCATTGGTATTTTGGGGGAACTCACTAAGCTTTGGGCTTACAATTTTGGATTATGTTTCAGGTACCTCAGAGGACCGCGACAAGGCGAAGGCGTGATCGTGCACCTCCTCATGTTTTTGATTTTACGATTTTGGGATTTCTCTGATGTGAAACTTATTTTGATAACAATTTGTAAACAATGATGGTTTTGGGTATTTTTAAAAGTTTAAAAATTTTATGAATTTTGTAAATGTTACATTTAATCTTTGAAGCAATCGACTTCCATTTAGGACAAAGTCCTTGCAAAAATGCCACCTTCTTCTCTATTGGTTGACGTTCCAAATAATACGTCATAAGCCGACTCAACATATGATTGTACCTTTCAGATACCTGATCAATACTTTCACCACTCTTTTTTTTGAATGAACCAAACTCCAAAAGTTATGAAGTTTGAATAGAATGAAGTTGACCATCATCACCAGAATACAACTATTTCAAATGCTTCCAAATATCATTAGCAGTTTTACTTGAACTCACTAATCTAAATGTATTCGGAGTAAGTGTGAAACGAATCTATCTCTTCATTTTCAAGTCATTTTCAAGTTTCTCTTTCTCTTCAAGGAGTCATATCAGTATACTTTTCATAAAGTCTTTCATAACTTGTAAGAGAGTAAACATATTCCTTTGTATTCGAGAATGGATGTGGACCTTCAGTTATTGATTTCCAAATGTAAGAACCATGCTTCTCAATACCAGTAATGTAATCTTCAAAATGAAGTACCCACACTTCATAATCATCAGGGATGAGAGTTGAAACTCGGGTATTAGACCAAATACTGCTTGACAGATTAAACACAACAATATAAGGGTCTTATTTTGCCATGATTTCAATGAAAAAGAATAGTAGATCAAATCAATGAGTAAAATATGAAATTCAAATCAAAATGAGTTTTCGAACAAGAATTTCTAGATCAAAATGCAAATAAATTGCAAATGCGGAAGGGATCTAGAAAAATCAAAGATGGCAAACGAAGAACTCGACGAACACAAGAGAATTCAACGATTTGAATTAAACTTAAAGATTCCTGCTTTGATACCACTTGTAGGATCGATTTACTGATTTGAAATGTAAGAAATCATGTTAATTTGAATGCAAGAAATGATAACACGAGAAGGTAAATAATTTCCTAATTTGATTTAGAGTAAGAAAGGTCGATTACAACTTTTGAGTGTAAAAACTAGCAAAAACTTACTTTACCTTCTAACTAACATCCCTATTTATAAGTTGACAAAAAGGAGTCAATTAGAGAATAACCATTAAGGTCGTGACAACTAAGCAGTGACAAACTGTATAAAAGTTAAGCAAAAAGTCACTTTGAAACCTAAAGTGTTTATATTTCGAAACCTAATAAACTATCAGAACATTACAATGAAGATTAAGATATTATGATAATAGCTTTTGCAACAGACGAGACACAACATACAAAACTATGAGACCTAACAAATGAGTTGTTATTTCTTTATTTCATGATTTTATGATTGTTGACAAATTTAAGTTTATGCTTTGTGTTTTGTTGTCACTGCACTTGGTAAAAAAAAGTTGTATTCACAATAACATAATCATACCTATATAAGAGAAAATGATATCAATGCTCCATTTTGTCATGTAGGATTATATAGGATATATAGTTAGATTTAAAGTCTATATATTAAGTTTTATTGTATCGCTATGTTTCAAATTTAATATAATTTGTGAACATGTATGTAGAGATGTATTTTTAGGTTTTAAGTTTACAATTATTTCAATTAGGTGGGATCTTCTAATCCAAATTCGATCTTACGATCACCGTTTTATAAAAAAAAAAAAAACAGTTTTAGGTAAAATCTTGATTTTTACAACTTGGTTTGAATTTAAACACATTAATTATCATAGTGCTTGCATAATAACTAGTGTTAGATTTGTGGTGATTTTTTTAACAAGAACAAATGGTTTCCCATATTATGCTCAAATGGAGGAGATTAAGTAGTTACATTATTTATGTGGTTATTATTCAAATGGAGGAGATAAAGTAGTTACATTATTTAACTGGTTTGTCGGTTGTACGTTTCCATTGTAAATGATTTAACTAGTGTAACCAGGGACGACATATTGTTAAAAATAATATCATTGAAAGGTCGATACATTGTAGCCACACAAGCAAAAACATGTTCTAGAATCTAGATCATCGCAATTGCTACCAACAGATATGAATTTCAGAGTCTACAACGACGATTACCATTATAGGGCAGCTCATTTAAATATGCACAATGTACCAGGTATCAAACAATTTTCCCTTAATAACAAATGTATGTACACAATATCACGAGATACAAACTCAAGCACATACATACAGAATATATAACAATGGCCTTGTATCAAATTAATAGTAACGATTGTACAAAAGATGTGCATACAGAAAGAGTACTATTTTCCTATATATATTTCAGTAGTTGCTGATTACACACTTACAAAACAATCTCAGATTAACAAACTTTTACTTTTCACTTCGTTTCAATTGTACATAATTTTCTATATATCTTTTATGCCTTCCCTCGTCTCCTAAAACAACTCCATTATGTATTCTACACAAATGCTACAACTTTGACTATTCTGCATCCAAATTAAGCCCGTTTTTATTTTCTTTTACACTTCAACTATTCACATTTTTCTTGCAAGATCAAAGATTGATATTACTATCGATCGTACCGATTTCCTGACATTTTCGGTGACATTACAAATACCTCTGTACCCAAAATCTTGATTTACGAACCTTTGTCAAAAATAAAGATGATATGAAAAGAAAGGGTGGGGTACGTGGGCATATTAATTTGTTCTAGAAATCAAGATGAGGTATTGAAGAAACATTGGGAAAAAAACCCTCCAAATCCCATTCTCCAATTCTGAAGCTTTCTCCTGGCCAATGATTTCCAAAGCCAACCACCTCCTCCACTTTCATATTTCCATCACTACCCCCATTGAAATGGTGATTAACATGGGTTGATTTTTTATCCAACGCATGATGATGAACAGTAGCATTAACATCCCCTTCAATCACTCTGTTGATCACTGCAGGGTTAGTAATGCCATTTTCCATTCCAAACATGTTGGGTACTTCAACATAATCCCCACATCCGGAGCTGTTCAAGAAACTTGATCCACCATTTGTGTCACAGTTGCTGTTATCAATAATCAATGGTGGCAAATGACCAATATAGTCATGACCCTCCATGAGCATAGGGGGATTATTATGCATTGATAATGATCTATTCTGCGATGTCAAACATGAGTCGATGCACATGGTCATGATCTCATAGTCATGGATCGACATGAACATACCATCCCCTCCTGTAATACCTGTGCTTGCGTCTAAAGACAACTCGCCAATACTATTATCTGTCGAGGTCGTGGAGGCGTCACTCATGTTGGTCTTCAACCTTTTCTTTATTGTTGAGTTCCAGAAATTTTTTATTTCGTTATCTGTCCTTCCTGGAAGACGTGCAGCTATTTGTGACCACCTGAATTTGCACAAATAAACACAAGTTAATAATGTTGTTAATTAAAATGTGATCATATATGCATAACTACAAAACCAAGATGGAAGGGGGAACATGTATATACATATATCTACGTACCTATTGCCAAGAATCGAATGCAAATGAAGAATCATGTCTTGTTCTTCGGGAGAAAATGAGCCACGCTTGAGATCGGGTCTCAAGTAATTGATCCAACGAAGGCGGCAACTCTTTCCACATCTTTGAAGCCCAGCATTCCTGGCTATATCGGTCCAACAACCTTGTCCATTCTTCAACATATAATCGATCAACTTCTGGTCTTCTTCAGGTGACCATAACCCCTTTCGAACCTTCAACATTATTCCCTTGCTAACAGCATTATCACTACAAACTTTTTCTCTCCCAGTTTGGTCTGGCTTTCTCATTGCAGGAGATTTATGTACTTAATTACTATACGTTTTGATCCCCAGACAACAGAACACCAAAGTTAAGTTTTTTGTTGAGAGAATAAGAATACATATGTTTATGTTGATGTATAGATATATACGGATACTATTCTATGAAGAGAGAGGAAAGGTGACGGTTGGTGTTCTTGTCTTTGACTCAAGCTTGTCTTTTTTTGATGCATTTATCTTCACTCACAAGGTAATCATCATATGTATATGAGAATTGATACATACCATATTGCTTCCACTTCACATNNNNCTCTCTCTCTCTCTCTCTCTCTCTCTCTCTCTCTCTCTCTCTCTCTCTCTCTCTCTCTCTCTCTCCTGGCTGTGTGGGTGTCAGAGGAGGTCCACCTACAGCCCGTTTTCTACTCTAACCTATAGATTAGCAACACCTCCATCTCTGTCTCTCTCCTGGTTAAACCCCACAAACATTACTTTGATCATCACCATTGCCGCTTGAAGAAGCCATCGTGTGTGTTCTGAGTTTGTCCGCGTTGGCTGAACACGTGTACTTTTCGTGCAGTGTGGAGTCTTAATTTGTTAACAATGCCACAAAATGGAAGATAATTATACATGAATGTTTTTTTATGGAAGTAGTTGAGACTACGAGACAAAAGGGAAAATTATGTCCGAGTTTAATTCGAGGTAAACCACTTCCTAAGCAAATTAACTGTCAGCAAACTAATACTCTTTCGCGAACAATCATGTAAGCAGAATAAAAAAAGTGTATGTAATATTTTTTATAAATTCTATTTCAAATGTCTTTTAAAAGACCTTTGGTAAAATTATTAGGTGTTTATATTTTTGCTAAGTGTGTATCAATTAATTAACTATTTATAAAACTTGTGAATCATTTAAATATTTGATTATTAGTTAAAAACATCTACATTATATTACAGATCAAACATAATATATATTATACATCTTAAGAAAAATGAAATATATGCTCGTATCTTTACTTTTGTCATGAGTAAATACATACCTTCGTATTGATATTATTAACGTTGATAAGATTGATTAAGTTTGATTACTGCTAGTTGATAGGCATATTGGTGTATTTAAATTATTCTTATATTGTAGTATTGTATCTCTAAATATTATTAAAAGAGAAATCTTATGACATCATCTTAAACAATCTAGGTCATTGATTGTATTTCAATCTTATGTTTTTCTACCCTTAGATCAAATTGATGACATCATCTTCCCAAAATGGAATGTATTTAATTCCAATAAAATCTTTTCAATTGTCAAACAAAATTAACTTACATCCGTTGAAATGGAATGTATATAATTCCAATAAAATCTTCATATATTTTAAATATTGACTTTCCGGTTATAAATGTTTTAATATGGTCAGCTTTAAAAACATATTAGTAACAAACCATTTCAATTAAGGCATTAATATCAACCATTAAGATTTATATTAGTAAACCATTAATATAAAATCTATTTTTATTAGGAAACCATTAATACCAAAAAATCATATTCAAATTAT